TATCTGTGATTGTATCTGTATGATGCATTGTGTGGATTATTGGTGGCAAATTTTCGTTCATTGGATGCCAGAGTGTGCCAGTGACAGAAGTCTGGTCTGACCCCACTGCTCTCATTGGCTTCACCCTGGAAGAAGCACTACTAGGTCTTTTACTGGCAGAAACAAGATGTGTGGGCCGTGGGATGCCGTGGAAACTCTGAGCCACACCTCAGTGAAGACAAAAGGAAGCTCTCTCATCCATACATCTGCCCATGGCCGGGAGTGCAGCTGGGGCATTTCAGGGTCTCACTCTGGGTGCCTCTGTATCGGTTGAGAGGCCCTTGGCATATCCGGGTATTGATAGGAAGTGAAAGTGGGCAAATGTTGAAGAAAGGGGGATACTTTGCTTTTGATGGCTAAGGAAGGTGAGCATACATTAAATGCTAAAATAAAAACCGAAGTTTTAGGACATTTGGAGTTGTAACCTCAAATAAGTTACAAACTTGTGCTGTGAGTTTTATACAAATACGAGAGTTGGATCCAAGCAGGTGGAACAGGGCTCTGTGGTGCCAGGCAGAGTCCCAGCAACACTGCGATGGCCCGTGGGACAGGCGCCCTCGTCACTCCTGCTTCCGCGCGAACCCTGTCCCCACGGAGCGGGAAGCCAGGCTCCTGCCCGCACACGGAATCCCCCACGCCGTAATTTCTCTCCCTGCCATTTGGGTATTGAAGGAAATGCTTTCATGAGATGCGGATGGTAATTTAGGGAGAAAATTACACTGACATCTTTTGAGACATTTGAGACAGAAAGGTATGTGTTAACTTCTGGCATTTTAAATGGCGCTTACAACCAAAATGTACTCATTCTCTTCTACATATTTATTTAACCCTAGGATTTGATCAGTTTATTTAGTCTAGAGGTTTACTTAGACATCATGACTCATTCATGACTCAATTGATATTTAAAAATTTAGTTTTGACTGATTTTTGCAACACAATTGTAAGGAGTAGGGCATTCCACTCTGCCTTCTTGAGGGCAGAGTGTCTACATAAATGATTTATAATTCTTCATGGGAGATTTGTCTGTTCTCTGTTTATTCAGTCATTTATTTACATCAGTATGGACTCATGGATTGTCTTAGTCCATTCAGGCTTCTCTAACAAAAGACCAGGAACTGGGTAGCTTATAAACAACATGAACCTATTTCTTGCAGTCATGGAGGCTGGGAAGTTCAAGGTCATGGTGCTGGCTTGGTTGGGTGAGAGCCCTCTTTGAGTCACAGCCTCTGCATAGCCTCACATTGACTGGGACAGCTCTGCAGCCACCCTCTAGGGCACAAATCGATTCCTAAGGGTGTCCTCTCCTGACCTGAGCGCCTCCCAGGGGCTGCACTTACCGATGCCATCCACTGCCTTTGGGGATTAAGATCTTTACATGGGAATTTTTTGGAGGGGGCACAGACCTTCTGACCATGGCACGGACGTTTATTTTGTTCTTTGCATCAGTATTAGTTTCTGTGAGTTCCTCAAATTGTTCCAGTTTTGAACCACTGGGTGCTCTTTCAGCAGCTGTGCCCTTTTGCCACCCCTGTGACTCCCCGTGTGCACGTGCACACGCGTACTTCTCACTTCTTACCCTCTGTGTGGTTCAGGGTGACTGGAGCTTGTCTTAGGTGCTATTTCCGTCCTGTCCTACAGTCAGCCATCTCTCCAGGGAGTCTTTCCTCTTATCGGAAAGGAAAGGCATTAGAAACCATGACCTGCGTGCTACGTGTGTCTTTCGGCATTGGGACGCTGTTGCTTCTAGGCCTTCCCCGCTGATGTAGCAAGGAAATATATGTGTGTGTAGTGACCTAAGTACCGGTATGGACACATACATACCAGTATTTCTGTGTGCGACCATTTGTAGCTCTAGTCAGCCAAGTATCAGTTCACACTGACGTCTCAGTCTCTAATTCAGTTAATACCACGTAGATCATTCTAGACTTCTCTGGTATGTAGTGTCCCATGGGATTTACTGCCGAGAAACTTCATTCCCACCATCTCCTTGTTTAATTATTTGGTTCCCGTGTACATGAATAGTGGTGTCAGAATTATTGGACTTGCCCCACGGATAACAACTCGACTAGCTGGAGTGTAATACAGTGAGGGCGTGCGGTTCCTTTGGCCTTTGGTCTCCCAGACCCCACTCCCCTGCAGAGTTCTGCAGGGCAGCACCTTCTCCACAAGGTGCTTTCCTTCAGGGAGGCTGCTTCATGCATTCACGTTACTTTGTCATATTCTGACTTCTGTCCTGGGACCTCTGACCTTCCAAAGGTTTTAACATTATACATTAAAGTTTATCTGTGTGCTGTAAGGCCTATGGCTTTTTCCACGTGCACAATGTCGTGTGTTCCCTGTGACGGCGTCTCACTGAGCAGTTGCACCGCCCCGCCAGGTGCCCCATTTGGTCTTCCTCTCTTCCCTTCCAGTGCCTGGCATCCACCGACCTTTGTGCCCTTTGTCTCTCTAGTTTCGCTTTTCCCAGGATGCTGTCTGATCAGGATCATGCAGCATGCAGCCTTTTCAGATTTTGCATGTAGCAGTAGGCATTTTACAGTTACCCATGTATTTTGTGGTGGGTGAGCCCATTTCTTTTTATTGCTGTGTCACAGTGAATCACATGGACATGCCACAGCTCGCGTGTCCACTTGCCTACTGTAGGGCTCCTTGGTGGCTGCCACTTTGGGTGACTGATTATGAGTAGAGCTGCTGCAGACAGTCATGTGCAGGTCCATGTGGACTTTGCGTCAGTTGGGTGATTCCCTGGCAGTGTGACTGCTGGTCATACAGGAAGACCACAGTTAGCTTTATAAGACATTGCCAAAAAGTCTTCCAAAGTGACGACTGTCTTGCATTTTTACTATCAGTGAACAAGAATTCTTGTTGCTCTGCTTCCTTACCAACAGTTGATACTCGGTTTCTTTATAGCCATTCTAATAGCTATGTAGTAAAATCTCATTTTTTATTTTACCTTCAGTTCATTAATGAAAATTGAGCATCTTTTCATCTGCTAATTTGCCATACCTTTACCTTCTTAAGGAAAGTATCTGTTTAGATCTTTGACTCATCTTTAATTGGGTTGTTTTTCTTCTTGTTGAGTTTTAAGCATCCTTTGTATGTTTTGTCAGATATGTAATTTTGTAATTTGGCAAATAGGACTCGTATAATAATACACTGAGATGAAAGGAGATGACAAGAAGGGATGAGTCAATATGACTTTATATTTCCAGTCTGGGTTTCTGAGAAAGTGGAGGGTACCAAAAAAAGGGAAGTCGAGGGTTCAAATCACTTTGGGAAGAAGTGGCAGGAGATGAATCACTTCGTTTTAAGTCAAGAGGGAGCCTGAGATGGTGGAAGAATATCCAAGGCCTGAAGTTCAAAAATACATTAAGACTCCAACTTGAATTGTGCTGTCCTCATCATGGATCATTGAAGAGAAAGCAGAAGTAACACACAAGTAGGGATTTAGGATGAGAACTGCGTGCTCTTGTGGCACCGGAGTGGTGGGAGGACATTTAAAGGAGGAATCAGACTTCAGCTGTCTGCCACTGTGGGGCTTTTGTGTCTGGGGCTCTTGGGGGGTGGGGTTCTTCCTTACTTTAATGAGCCCCTCACACGTAACACCTTGCGGAATTTCGCCAATGGAATTTTCAGGGCGAACACGGATGGGGCCTTGTCTTTCGGAATTCTCTTACGAGTACCCAGCTCTCTGTATGGAGCTGAATCTCGCAGTCTCCATATCTCCATCCGAACACGCTGTGGGAGAGGACTGGGTGAGGGCCGAGTTCTGCCTCCTCAGTCAGTTACTCTGTCCTGCTGTGGAGCCCAGCTGGTCGGGACTTTGTCCCTGTAGAACGGGCACCCGGGACTCTGGGCCTTGTCTGGCACTGCCACGTGTGGTCCGTTTCCTGGGGTCACAAAGTTTGCTTCTTATGTTTCTATTTGCATCTGGTTCTTTTCCATCATCTTTTTTACCCAATCACCCCAAGGATGGTACTTTATTGAGTAATTTACAGAGCAGATACAGTAGTAGAAACAATGAGCTTCACCAAGCATGCCAACATGAAGCACTGAGTGCAGACCAGAAGTTCATGTGTTCAATAGGAGAGCATTGAAAGGCACTCTGAAAATCCTGTGCACGTGAAAGTTATCTGGGGGGAACAGACTGCGCACATTTCAGGTTTATTCTGAACTGATAGTCATTGGGTTTAGTGCCCTTGCGCAAGCAAAAGTAGGGTTGGTGTTGTAAACAGTGATAAGAACTTGTTCATCGGACACTTCTTAGGACCTAAAAGGCATCAGTGGTATATTCCTCTGTTTCGCGCCATTACCCAGAGTTTTGTTTGCCTTGAGTGTCAAACCTGTGCTAGCTGTTCACACACAATAAACACGTACTTTGTGGGGCGTGACCACACAGCTGGGACACGGCATCAGTCCAGGTGTGACGGTGAAATCTGCTGCAGAACAGCTGTTTTGTGATGTGATGTCTGTAGTTTCAAGTCACTGATGGTCTAACTTCTTTTTGTATTGCTTGTTATGGTGGTAATGTACCTAACAGAAAGTAGCCATTTTAGCCATTTCAAGTGTACAGTTCATTAAATGTACTCCCAATGTGTACAACCTCACTTTGCCTACTTTCACAATATACCTTCGTTCAGAGTAGAAACTGTACACGCTCAGCAGTGATTCCCCATATCCCTCTTCCCAAGCCCCCGGAAGCCCTGAATCTGCTCGGTCTCTGTGAGTTCCTGTTTTAGACACTCCATGCAGGCAGAACCACAGCAGATTCGTCCCTCGTGTGTGTCTGATTGTACTCGTTCTCAGGACCCTTCCTGTTGTAGTGTGTACGAGACCACCGTTCCTTGTCTGGCTGACTGATGCTCCATCGTGTGTGTGTGTGCCCCTTTCTAGTCTTTTTGTGCTTAAATTTTAAATCAGTCACTGCAGTGATATCTTTATTCTTTTCAATTCTTTTACAGGTTTGACAGATGAAAAAGTGAAGGCATATCTTTCTCTTCACCCCCAGGTATTAGATGAATTTGTTTCTGAAAGTGTTAGTGCAGAGACGGTAGAAAAATGGCTGAAGAGGAAGAACAACAAACTCGAAGGTAAGAGCTCATTCAGATCAGCGCGGACTGTGTTCTATTGCGTAGTGACCACACCCACATTCGGTCCATGCTGGAAGTGAACATGAAGCAACAGATACTAGCATTTAAATTTTGTGATAGTCGTAGTCTGTTTAAAGAGATAACTTAAAGCTAGAATGAGAGAGAATACATACAAAAGAAAGATCCTTGATTAAAAATAAATTTTGGCAAATAATTCTTGAAAATTTAAATATATTACAAAATGCAGTATTAGACTTGGTTATATTTAATGATTATGATTAATGATTCCAAAAACAATCTTTATATTGCAGAGCTGTATTTATGTTAATATAATTTACAAAAAGAAGTCTTTGAACAATTTTTATGTGTGCCCCATAGGAAAAGACCTGTTGAGTTTGCATTAAATGTTTCATTCACATTTATACATGGAAGCCGCAGTTCTGTGGTGAAAGAAGCAGCGTGGGCTCAGGGTGTGTGTGTGCACAGGACTTGAACATCGCGGTGCAACTTTGTTCTTAAGTTATGTTGGGCCAAGCATTCATTTCTAAGAATACTATTTTAGAGCAGAAATTAATTTCAAATGTGATTTTAACTATATGGAGATATTTTATATTAACAACTGAAATAGATACTGTTTTCTGGATATTAATATAGCAAAAGTGCTGTATTTCAAGTTAAAAGTCATCATTCCTGAAACGTGTTGATAGAAGCATGTTCCTAGTATGTTGCTTGCAGGTGATTTTCCTCACTCTAGTTTTGAAAGTTTTTCTCATTTCTTACATAATTTTTATAATAAAAATAAGCTTTTCATTTATTTTTTAAATTAATTTTTTTTGCTTAATCCTTTTTCACCCAGCCCCCCGATCCCCCTCCCCTCTGACAGCAGCCTGTTCTCTGTATCCATGAGTCTGTTTCTGTGTTGTTCTTTTGTTTATTATGTTCATTAGATTCCACGTACAAGCGAAATCATAAGATATTTGTTCTTCTCTGATGGGCTTATTTCACTTTTAAAAAGAGAGCTTTGGATATTGGAACACAAAGTAGTTTTTAAAGCACATGCATATGAATGTGTGTGTGTGTGTGCGCGTGTGCGTGTAGACCGAGGTGGGGAGGGCAGAGGGAGATGAGTCGCAGAGTCAGGCGTGCTCCTCTCAGACCATCAGACTGTCTTGTGCTGAGGGCGGGGCTTGTCCTGGCCTATTTCACTGTGAAACCCACAAACACTCAAAGACAATGTTCGGCTCTTTGAGAAGTGTGGCTGGGCTGTGCTTAAGGCAGACAGTAGAAGATGCGCCTTTCCGTTTGCTGTGTACAGATGGCTGCAGATACTGTGCAGGAACACGTGAACACGTGATGTATGTGACATGGGAAGTTGAGTGAAGGTCTTAGAACATGAAAGTTTTGGGTGCTGTTTTAGTGTTTCAGTGAGAGTTAACCCTTAAATTTCTGTAAATGTGTCTTCCCATATCACCCAAATCTGTTTTCTGTATGAGCTAATCAGGTAAAGCTTTGAACTGCTTAATATATGTACTCAAGTTATGCACTGTATTTTTTGGACCATAATACACACCTAGGTTTTAGAGGAGAAAAATAGGAAAAAAATTTTTGAAGCAAAAAATATGCTCCAATATTTAATAACATAAATAACATAATATTTCACCAACGTAAATGTAAACAGAATTCAACAGCAGCATTAACAACCGTTATTCCTCCCAAATTTGGGGGGGGGTGAGTCTTATAGTCTGAAAAATATGGTAGTTATTAACAATATCTTGGAATATTTAGAATATTCACTTAATTTCTTAACATTAGTATTGTACAAATGAATCGGAATATAATATATAATGTAAGTGTATAAGTAATAAAATAGAATGCAATAATAAAATGTGAATATTAAAAATTAAATACTAGTATTGATATCGATATTGTAATGGTATTACATAGTATTGAAGCAGTACTCAGTTATGCTGGAAGGAAACCTTGCCCGCGTATGGAGATGACTCCAGCAGTGGCCCTGCCAGGGCTCGCGGCCGAGGACGAAGAGGCTGCATGAGCCGTGCACCTGTGGCTTCCCAGCCAGTGGGGCAGTAGGTGGGCCTGGAGCGACCACGTCACCCAGGATGTCAGTGATGAACAAGGACGCGAGAGTCTGGAGGTGGGAATGTGCAAAAAGAGACCTTCGGCTCGACCTCCACGGTCTGCGAAGAGCCTCTTCCCTCCTCCCACGTGGAGTCGGGCCCAAGATGAGCTCGGGCCGCCCACTTTCCACGCAGCCCTCGCAGACTGGGTGTTTGGAACGAGGCTCAGCCCCAGCTTGTGTGGACAGTTGAAGAGCAGAGCCGCTGAAACGCCTTTCCCTCCCGCAGGCGCTGAGGACTGGGAAGGGGCCGGCCGGAGCGTTCTGTGTCTGCCCTCCCCCCCCTCTGGTGGCTTTTACGTGTTGCCCTCTCCTGGGACGGCCCTCGCTCTTCCCATCCCGCTCAGCGAGCCGCTCTCGAGGAGGAAGCTGTACAGAGCGGTTTCCAGGCGGTGTCCCTGTGTCCGTGCATGGGAAGTGTGCCGGGCGGGGGCAGTGTGTGGGCAGGGAGACCAGTCTGTGCAGAGGGTTCCTTTTTGCGTCAGTTTAGTAAAAGGAAATGAAGAAAGGAAAACCATGCCAGAAAAAGTAAAGTGTACATTTTAATATATTCTGAATAATAAATATTTTATTTTTTAACCATGGGTAAACCAGCCTCATAGGGAAATGATCTCTGTAGGGATTTGTAATGGTCTGTTGTGCCTAGAGGAAGGTCAGCTCTAAAAATTCACGTTTTTAAGCGACTAAAAGGGGTGGCTATGTAAATTTCAAATTATATTTGCTTTTAAAATGGTCACCTTTCTGCACACAAGAGTTGTGAGTGACGAGTCTCTGCGTCACATTGGCTGGCTTTCCTTCCTCCCTTCAGACACGGAACCAGAGAGACCGCAGGACTCTCTGTCACACTGGGCAGCGAGAGCGACTCTGGGTGAGCACCGAGCAGCCATGCTGGCCCGGCTCCCCTCTTTCCCCTGGGCCGATGGTGAAGACCAGGCAGAGAGAGCGCTGTACGCTGGGCAGACGCTGACGCTGCAGGGGAGTGGGGTGACCAGCCTTGTCCTGGAGATGGCCTCCCTGGACCGTGCTGGGCCTGTGTGGGCAGGGGAGGGCATGGGCTCTGGGTTCCCTCCCTGAACAGCACAGCTGACACAGAGGGCGGGGTCTGTGAACGTGTGTGAGCGGAGGAGTGAACGAGTGGGCGTACGAGTGGACGGGTGCATCCGCGAGGGGCGGGTTCTAAGACTGCAGGTGAACCATGAAGACACTTGTCCTCGTGCTCGATCATCAATCACTCCCGGCTCTGGACTGCAGGCATGCGCTCCTTATGTCCCCCACTCTCATTTAGAAGCTTCTGCAGGGAAGGACCTATAGAAGGTATATTCTTAAATCTATCAAAGGGGCCGTGTCTTTTCATTTATTCAGCAAACTGTGTAAAGCACCGTTCATGTACTGGGTGTTAAGTTTCTGAGGAGCTCCCAGCTCTGAGAAGCAGAGGAAGAGTCAGAAGTTTCCTCTTCCTTCTCGTTGGCCTGACAGGGAGGCTAAGCACTGGCCAGCCTCCGAGGCCTGGAGCCAGCGTGGCCCTGTGGAGGGACGGGCCGCAGTGAGTCACTTTCAGTGTTGTGTGCACAGTGGGGGGGGGAAGGTGGACCAGCACGGGTCCTCGGAGACGGGCTTTTCAAAGAGTTCACTGTTCTCGACTTCGGGTTATCACCGTTGCTTTCATGCCGTTTCATTTCAGATGCATAAAGTTCTGTGTGCAGTTTCAAGGCAAGTTGTTTGGAAGGATGACTTCTGATTCTGCATCCCAAACAATCATCTTTCAGAGTATTTTTTAAAGAACCTGAAATACTTGGTTAAAAATTTGTACACATTTCCTCAGAAACCACTGAGGACTGTACACCCTTAAAACCATTCTTACATTTGGGAAAACTTAGGAAAGAAAGAAAATGATCTTGGTCATGATGTATTTCACCAAATGTTATACTTTTATGCTAATTTTTATCCAAAGTAAATTTGACAGACCCAGCTGGTACTCATCAACATTCAGATTACTAAAGTAAGTAATATCTGTACACATATCAAAGTATAAAATTAGTAAATGTAAGTTAGGGTCCAATGCAGGTCCAACCCTCCCATTTCTTGGAAGAACGTCGTAAGATGGAGCACAGCTGCTTAGCCCGGTGCCTGTGGCATCTCGGTGATGGGCAGGGAGCAAGGGCGCTCCTCCCCTCTTGGCAGTGTTCCCTCCCTTTGGGCTTCCGGCAGGGGTGGCGGTGAGTTGGCGATGGTGGTCGTGCTTCAGAGGACGCGCGGTGGGGTGAGCACATCGGGAGTCAGCACGCCTGTAACTGATGGTTTCTTTTTGTGTTAGAATAGTATTAGAAATGTGTAAATTAATTTTTGAAAACGTAACTGTGATACTCATTTTCGAAAGGGAAGATATTTGGTACTCAAGAGGGTGACTAATTGAACTCAAATTGTCTAAAATTGTGACCAGCAATGCCATGGCTAATGGCCAATAATTTTAATTATATTCCCATGTTTAAAATATTCAGTAGCACACCATGTAGCTGTTGGTGAATGTGTAAGTGTCAAATAACTAATAATGAAAATACTGATTTCAGCTGCCTTTTTTCCATTCAATACATGAGTAGTTTCTTTTTTCCCCCTCAAAGAATACATAGTATATACTATGTATTTCTTGCCAGTCCATGATTCTAGAAATGGGATTTAATTTCCATTAAGTTACAACTGTTGATATTTCATACTGGGAGGCAGAGGGATTTGTCACACCTCCCGAGATGCATACTGCCTGCATTTGCTCGGCTTTGTGCGTGACCAATGTCTTCACGGCGTGTGTGCATGCAGTGGGGTGTCATGTTAATGGCGTGCGGAGTTCACCCTAGTGCATGCTGTGTGA